ATCTATCTGACCCGAAGCCCCGGCCCCAGCTTGGGGTGCTTCCCGGACCTCACTGTGTTCTTGCTGGAACCAAACACATCTGAACCGCACACTCAGCCAGCCTATGCACCTTGGAACATAACACCTAACTTGTGTCGGTACCTAGAGCAAACCTAGAAGTCACATTCCAGCCATGTGAAACTGCCCGGAGGTCCCCAAACCCAGCGTCTTTCTCTAGCCTCTGTGTGGCCGCTCACAGTGGACCCTGTGTCTAGTGTCCCTGGGAAGACTAGTCACCTTTCAGAACCCATCCCAGGGCCATCTCCTCCTCGAAGACTTGGAGCCTCCCACGCCCACCCTCCAACAACCCCTCCCCCTTTGTGCCTGCAGTCAGACTGTGAGTTCAAATCCCTACTCGGCCACTTACCAGCTCTGTGACCTTGGGTAGTTCCCGCATCTGAAGAAACAGGACTAAAAAAACTCTACCTCTTGAGGATGTTGTGAGTATTTAAAAAGGACTTCCTGTAAAGTACTTAGCTTCATGCAGTAAGTGTTCAATAAATGTTAGCAATTATGTTTATTACTGTAGCCAGGACAGATTTCTCTCCCAGCATGCATTTGTTTCTCTTTCTCACCTAACTGGGCAGTGATCTCGAGAGCGGTGGAGACCTGGGACAGAGAACGTGCGCCAGAGATGCTTGCGGAATGAATAATAAATAAACGGGCAGAACAGAACTGGGGGGAGCTGACCGGCCTGCAGAGCTGGGTCTCATTGACTTGGATGCCCCAGTGTCTATCCAATGGCACCTGCCCTGCTGTGGCCGCCGGACTGGAGGGGTCTTTTCATGAAATGCCAGGGGCGCCGCAGGGCTTGCTGCTTTCCAGACCCTGTGGCACAGGACATAGTCCTGACTCCTAGTCAGCTCCCTCTCCCGTTCTCGGTCTCTGGTTCCCGCAGCAGAATGCAGGCTGAGGGATGCCATCCTCCCACATCGAGAAGCAACCCCCTCCTGGGGCACAGTGGGCACACTCTGGGAAAGGCACCACCCAGTTCCTGGAAGTGTCAGCGGCCACGCGGCAGCGACCTCCTCATGCGGCAGGCCTGTTCCCAGCCCCAGTCTGGATCACCACCACAGGGGCACTCGGTCAGCTAGCTCGGCCTCCCGGAGGTCAGAGAGACGACCTCTGGATGAAGTGTGACCACACCTCGTCAAAGCGCCACTCCCATCTGCAACTTCCAGCCAGCAGCTGCCTCTTAGCACGGCCCGGTGATGCTGGGAGGCGGCGGGAAGCATCGGCAGGCAATCTGACGACTCGGTCAAAGGACATACCTCTTCTGTTATCACCAGAGTCCCCTCCAAAGTAAGCACCCGGCTACAGCACCACTGTCTGCATCCACTAGCTCCACGCCTGGGCCACTGCGATTCACCCCTGCTTCCTCCAGCGACCAGAGCCACCTGGCCCAGGCCCGCCCTGCCTCCCCGACTGCAGGCCTCCCGCCGAGGACGGAGCTCGGGGGAAGAGATGAGCTTGCTCTGGCTACTGCTCACTTTCTGCACTGCTCAGTGTGGTTGCAGAAAGACACAGCACAGGGAAGCTTCAGCTGTCTGGGGCATGTAACATCTCCATCCCGCCTTCCAGAGCGGGACCAGCGGCTTTCGAAATTCTTTCACTGATTTAGAAGACCTTGGACGAATACTTGCCAACATACCTCTCTGACATCTTTTTCTGATATGGGCATAATTACTGAAGCTCCTCATTAATTCTGTTAAACAATATTTCAGATGACCTTCTGGGGCTTAAGGAGAAGGCCCGGGCCCACAGAAGGATGGGAGCTGCAGGTTTTAAAACAATGTTGTATACGAATGTGTTTTGTGACGGCTCAGCTGTCTGACAAATGCTGGACGATATGAGCACTGGGGAAGTCTTAGATCCCAGGTCTAAGGGAAGCAGTAACCTTTGTTTGTCATTCTCAGTGACACTCACGAGGCCGGGTTCCATCACGGAAGCCTGTGTGCGTGGGTTCTGGGCGCTGGGTTTGAGATTCTGCTCAGCCCCGACCTGCCACGCGGCCCACAGCTGCTCGGAGAGGGGCTGCCGGGACGGCTGCTTCCATCCTGACCCTCTTCCCGGGCTCCCATGGCCTCGCCCGTCCCTCCGTGTCAGTACCTCGCTGGATGGAAGCTGACCACACAGCCGGGCTCGGCCACCAGCCTGTCGGCGCCCTCTGGGGAAGGAGACCGCATCCTCTCCACAAGGACAGCTCATACCTGGCACACAGCCAGGGAACCAGAGCGGCTCTGTGAGCGTGTCGGGGCCAGTCAACAGACGACACGTGGTCGCGTGAGTGAACAGAGAGAAACGAAGGCACAGGGACAGAGCTGCTGACCCAGGAGGCACGAGCCAGGGAACGAGTGTCCGTGGGCCCAGGGACAGAAGAGCCAGGGCCAGCTTGCTCATGGTGCTTCCAGCTCGAGGAACGATGACGGGCACACGGTCGATGCTCAGCAACGTGGCAATGGACAGTGACTGGACACTTTACGTCCTTCGACCCTGTGCTAAGTCTCTTACATGCATTGTCTCACTGATCCTCATGCTACGAGGTGCAGATATTACTTCTGGCAAAGTGGGTGAAGGGCCCAGTGGGAGATGCTGACTCTCCCTTCGAGAAAGGTGTGATCCGATCCCTAGCAGTATCATCATCCCACATTCTTACTAGAAAAGCAGCAGAGACTTGCCATGAAGCACCTGGATTCTGGAGTCGTTCAAATCCTGGTTCACGTCTCAAGTTCAAGTCTCGGTTCTGCCACTTGGTGACTGATGTAAAACCGGGTGACTGCCTTCAATTACCCCCACGCTCCGTGCCTGGTTCTCCTACAGGGACGGTGCTGGCGCCCACGGGCCACTGTGGAGCCTAGTACGCCCGGGCATGTATCTCCAGCACCACACAGCATGCAGCAAGCCCCGCGTTAGGCGGTGGTCTCTGCCCAACCCACCCCTGGCTCCCCATGTGACTGTAGGGCTGGTGCTGTCCTCACCCCTCTGCAGGGATGGTCTCAGCCTTCCTCAGCTGGGACCTGGGCACCCGGTGGGCCTTACTGACCCCAAGGTGAAGGTCACCATTTAACTGGTGACAGTAAGAGGAGCTGGAGGGAGAGAGGACATTTAGTATTTATTCATCTGAGTTAAATGCAGCTAAAAGATATAATAAAGAATCTGTGTCAGATCTGGGGCTAGTGACCTGGAGACACACAGTGGAACTTTATCTGCCGAAGGAAACGTAACGTCAGATGGTTGAGACTCACCCTCCGGGGTCCCTGGAAGATGACCCAAGGTGCAGCGACGTTCTGAGTTCTGATGGCAGAAGCCAGGGCCCTCCCTCCCAGGCCTCGCTACCCACCTGCACTGTGCCAGTGTCCCCGGCGGGCCAGCTCTGAACACGGAGCCTGCAGGCTTGGGAGGACACGGCCCAGTTACCCTGGCTGGGAGCACTCATCTGTTGACCTGCTCCCTGAGCGGACTCGGTTTCCCTCTGAGAACAACCTGGTTGGGGTCTGTCAAGACGGCGGGGGTACTGATGTGAGGTGGTGGGCAGTCAGATTCCGCTCTGGGGCACCTAGGCTGAATAGCAAAGGCAGGCTCTGCCCTGGGGAGGGTCCTGCCATCCTCACGCTTAATCCTTCAAGGCTCCTCGCCCAGCAGCCTGGCCGGCCAGTTGCCCCCGGACCGGATTCCCAACCAAGTGCGTCTGCTGCCCGCCCTGGCTTCTCACTTCCTGTCCCAGCGTCATCGCACTGCGGGGTCCCACCCCGAGCCACGCGCCTTCTCCGCCCTCTGGTGGAAAGGGCTCCGCCTTTCCCTCTGGTTGGCCTTCATCCCTCCCTCACACTCAGTGCCGGCATCACCTCCTTCGAGAGGCTTCTCGGTCCTTCTGGGAGTCTCCGTTTCGACCTTCCATAACTCCATCCGAGAGTCTGTCGCGCTGTTTCCCATGTTGCCTGTGACGTTCTCTGTCGGTGGGTCTGACCCTCACGGGACTGAGTTTCCTGGTGGCCGGGGCCATGACCTGAGAGTCCTCAGCTTCTCGCCTGGCACCTGGCGCCTGGCCGTGAGGGCATATGACTCGACAGCATGTGCTCAAATCTCTCGTCACTGAAAGAAGAGAGCGTCTGGCCAAAGCATGTCAGAATCTCAACGTCACAAAAATGATCGTGAACACGAGACAACGTCCCCCGCCCCGCAGCGCCCTAAGGACGAGGAACGCCAGCACCAGCCCTGGGGGGGCGGACTGGACCAGTGAACTCTACGCAACGGCAAGAGGCAAAGGAGTGTGGGCCATGGCCACCGCCTCTGGTTCCCTCTGGAGGACCATGCCCGCTTCGTGACGGAAACCGCCTCCCTTGCCTACAATGTGACAAGGGCAATTCCAGAAAGTCCGCTGTGACCTAGGCTACCCTGTCAGACCAACGCGGAGGTGTAAGCACTATGTAGAGAGAGAAAGTGTGCCTAACACTTAGTTTTTCAAAGAAAAACGGACTTTATGGCCAAAGCAGCAAACCCGTTGCATGTCACACAGAAGGCCCCCAGAGCCGAGAAATGAATGTCGCAGCGCCGGTTGGACTCTCTTCAGGGACCCTGTCTGGAAGGCGCAGGGTCTCCTCAGGGGTGACTGATTCCTGGGTGGAGATGCGGAGGCCGTGGACTCCACGTTAGACACTTGAGATGACCAAAAGGGACACAGTACCGAAGCATTTTTATGACAAGCATTGCTTGCCTTTAAATAATTAATTCCAGGAGTGATACAAATGTACAGAAGAAGCTCAATCCCGACAAAACCTAGGCTTGATGCTTGTTAATTAAGTGCTTTCCTGCTGATCACACAGACACACACACACACGCATCATGGTATAAGACATGCACATGGTGCTATAGTACCTCATTCTAACTCCTGGGTTCAAGAAACATATACACCTCTAAAGGACTTTCCACACTCACCAGGAGAGTCATGGCATCGGTCTTACCCTGAGGTAGTTGAGGGTGAAATTTGTCAGCCCCATCCTGGTGATGTTTTTGGACAGCTGATCCAAGACCTGAGGATCTTGTGCCTAAACAGAAAAAAAAAAAATTAAAAAAAACCATGCATGTTGTCCCTGTAAGATGATCTCAAGAAAGTCTCAGACTGAGCCAAGAAATGCAACTTTGACACTGGCTGAAGATGATTTAATTTACATTTCAAGACACATGCATGTAACGCTCAAGGACACTTGTGGGTCAATGGTGCGAGTCCTACCTGCAGCCAGGGGAACTAGAGTCAGGTGTGCTTTCAGACCTTGGGAGAACAACTTTACCACTCCGGGGGGTCTTCAGAGGGAGGTGTGTGAGGACACCTGTGGGCCTCGGGCACCGGTCAGAGAGGGCTCGGCCTCTGCGTTTGTTTTTTTTTATCCTCACCCGAGGACATTTTTCCATTTTTTGTTCAGGTAGAGTGGGAGGGAGAGAGAGGAACAGAGGGAGAAACATCGATGGGAAAGGAACACATCGAGTGGCTGCCACCCGCACGACCAACCAGGGCCGGGCACAAACTGCAACCGAGGTACGTGCCCTTAGCGGGAACCGAACCCGGGTCTCTCCAGACCGCAGGCCGACGCTCTAACCGCTGAGCCAAACCGGCCAGGGCAGGCCTCTGCGTTTGGGAGAGCTGTGCTCTAGCCGTGGTGTCTGCGGTGACAGTGTTGCTTCAACAGCCTGGAGCCCAGGGCTGTATTCGACAACTTTGTAACTACACACAACTTATTCAGAGTGTGCCCCCAAATGTACACAGGTTGTCTGTAGATTCTATTACACTTTGAAAATGAAATGTATTTTTTCTTTTTATTTATTTTCTTATTATTATTTTGCATTGTTGAAAGTATTACAGATGCCTCTTCTATTTTCCCCACTGACCCCCCTCCTCCCCACCCCCACCTTCTCCTGCCTTCTCCAGCCTATTGTCTGTGTCCATTGGTTGTGCATATATGCATATAAGTTCTTTGGTTTATCTCTTCCCACCCCTCCCACCCCCATTCCTCTGAGGTTTGTCAGTCTGTTCTCTACTTCCATGACTAGATCTATTTTCATTCAAAAATGAAATGTATTTTAATAAACATTGGCTTTATAATTACACTTTTTTGTGTATACATTTTCTGGGGACACTATATATGTATAAAATAAATACACATATTTATATTTAAGAATTTGAACTCTCCTTTTCATCAAGTGGGGACTAGAAAGAAATGTCTCCAACAATTTTTGTCCCGCAGGATGGTGAGGGTACGCCCGCATTCTACAAAACATCAGCCTCGTTTAAAAGAGGGAGGTAACTAACGTTCCATAGGCAACCTCAAATGTTCCGTTTGGCTAGAAAAAAAGAAGGAAAATTCTTTCTGGATATTATTTTAAGTTGAGTCTCTTGGTTGATGCTCTTTCTTTCTGTCTTCCTTCCTTCTTAACTGGTATGAGAGAGTCGTGCTCAACCTAAAGGAGCTTATAGTGCAGTAAGATGATAGGAGAATAATAAATAAGTGAAAGGATGTGGTTGCTGCTGCTACAAGCCAATCGCCATACTTGCAGAGGACCTACTATGTGCCAGGCACTGCTCTATGTTCTTTAGACGCATTAACTCTTAGTGCTCAGACCAATGCTCCAAGGCAGGCTCTATGACTGCACTGATTTTACACACGAGGGACCAGAGCAGAGATGCCATGCCACTTGCTCAAGGTCACACAGGAGCAGGGATACAAACCCATGTGGTCTCATTCCAGAGCCCAGGACCTGACTGCTACCCTCAGGCTATTTTGAGAATATGAAGAGTGGCTACTCCAGGCTGCTCCAAGGAGAGCGGACGATGTGAACGGGCTTTGAGAACCGAGAAAGACGGGCCATGGGCAGGCAGAAGCAATGGAGCAGGAGAGTGTGGGGCGGCCGAGAAAAGGGCACAAGGGCAGAGATCGGGTTGCTCAGTTGGGAGTAGGGGGTTGAGGACCAACGCCTGGAGAGATGGCTGGAGTCAGAGAGCTAGGAGGCGGTTGGCTTACCCGCCTGGGTTTGGGAGTCAGAACCAGCTGAGCTCATCCTTGACTTTGCCACTTTCAGACTGAAAATCATTGGGCAACTGACTGCACTTCTCCAAGCCTCAGTTTCCTCACTTCTGAAACGGAATAATGAATGAGAAGTCACCTCTCTAAGTGACTGTGGGGACTAATGATAATGGGCATACGGCGTGTCGCACAAGGCCTGGCCTAGGAAACACCCAACAAATGCCGGTTGCTGTTGCCTGATTCTTTTTGGATTATACTGGGTCTGAAAAAGCAGGCTCATTAAGTCTGATTTTGCTTCAAGGTTTTTTCACAAAACTGCCGTATCATGTATGAAGGAGGAGGGACTAACTTAAGTCAATGCCTTTTGACTCCTTCAGGGACCGGACCTGACTAGTTCCCATCAAGTCTTCCCCTTAAAACATATCCTTAGATTGGCATCGAGTCCACCCTCGCACCTAGTTGGTGTTCAATAAATTTCATGTGCTGTGTGTCCAACGGAACCCAAGAGAACCCCAAATATCCCAGCTCATTCCAACAATGGTCAGAAAGAGCCAACTCCCACTGACACAGATCTGAGGTCCATGTGCCCTGTGTCTCTTCAGATGGTCCTAATCAAGACTGGAAACTATTTTCCTTACTTCTTGTTTTATTTCTTCCCCCATTATAACACCAGGTTTATTAGCCTACGCAGGGCAGTACAGGACCATGATTGAGCGGAATTACCGAAAAGGACAAACTGTTTATTGAGGTATCCTCAATTCAGAGTTAAAATAATGAAGTATCAAAACAACAACAACAAAAGGCTCCAAATTCACCACACTTGAAACAAAGGAGGAGAAAACGGGCCTGTGGATGAATATGGTTGAGGGAAAAGCTCAACGTGTAGAGTTAATTCCGCGCAGGGTGAAGACGGGCAGAGTTCTGCCACAGAGACGTACTTCTGCTCCGTGAGTACGAGGCGGATAGGACAGGGTGGCAGAGAAAGGCATTACTTACATGCATGGCTAGAATGCTTCTCGGGACGAGCTCTCTGTACTGTCTAATGGTAAAGTGCCACGTTTTTATTCTCATGAGATCGTCGAAGGTGAACTCCAGTATCAGTCTGCCTTCTGTGCACACCTGGAAGAGACAAACGACACGCCGGTCATGATGCACTTTGTGAACACCGTAGTTGTGTAACTCACACGCCAACTACTCAGTGTGGTCTCCCTGCCTGTCTCTGGGTGGCTCTGGATCTTCCCAAATGGGACACAAGTGGCTTATCTGTGACTGAGACAGGTACAAGCTCAAGAACCAGTGGGCTCAAAGACACTGGAGCTGCTTGCTGGCCATGGCCTATCAGCGACCTGTCAGCTACGACTGAAACGCTGTGAGCTTCCGTTTCTTCACTGGTAAATATGGGCACAGACCCATCCTACAGCAAGATCACGTCAAAACGCATGGCACCGAGTATGGACCCCACAAAACAGCATCCTCCTACCAATTTATTGATCGCGTGACTTTCATGATCCTCCCACAATAGAACCTTGAGTTCTTGTTTTAATTTTATTTAATCCTACTTTGGGAGAAAGTATCTGATATACGTATTCACACTGAAGTATGAGATACTATAAGATTACCCAACCAGAGGTTCTTATTTCCAAAAAGAAATTCCAGAGAGCAATGCTTAACCTAAGGATGTGGGTATCAGTGACCGACATGTGGAAATTAGAGGCATATTTAGAGTATATTCCTTAAATCACATCATAGCAGCAGTGACAAATTCTGCTTACATAGGGGCCAGCTTTTGGAAGGGGGTGGAGGGATTTATCTCTCTAAGAAAAAAATATATATTATTAATAAAAAAGAATTCCTGAGGCTCTCTTCCTTGACAGACTAATTAGTGATAGGGGAGCTTTTTCATCTTTTGATATTCAGATCATTTTCACATGTACTTCCTATTTTATTTACCTTTTTTCCCCACTATTACTGACTTTAAAATTTTTTATTTTATTTTACATTTATCTTCAGATAGAGCAGGAGGGAGAAAGGGAGAAAGATCGATGCGAGAGAGACACATTGAATGATTGCCACCCACGCAACCCCAACCGGGGTGGGGACAAACTGCAACCGAGGTACGTGCCCTTAGCGGGAACCAAACCTGGGACTCTCTGGTCCACAGGCTGATGCTCTAACCACTGAACAAAGCTAGCCAGGGCTAAAATAATCTTTATTGTTAAGAATATTATAAATGTACCTCCTTATTCCTCCCCATCCTCCATCCAGTTCCTGTCCCACCCCAGGCCTTCACTACCCTATAGTCTGTGTCCATTGGTTATGCATATATGCATGTAAATTCTTTGGTTAATCTCTCCCCACCCCCCAGTTCCCTTCCTTCTGAGGTTCATCAGTCTGTTCCATGTCTCCATACCTCTGTTTCTTCTTTATTCGTCAGTTTATTTTGTTCATTAAATTCCACATATAAGTGAGATCATGTGGTACTTATCTTTCTCTGACTGGTTTATTTTGTTTAGCATAATACTCTCCAGGTCCCTCCATGCTGTCTCAAAGGAGATCGCTCTTTCTTACAGCTGCATAGTATTCCATTGTGTAAATGTACCACAGCTTTTTTATCCACTCATCTACGGGTGGACACTTGGGCTATTCCTAGATCTTAGCTATTGAAAATAGTGCTGCTATGAACACAGGGGTACATATATTCTTTCTGATTGGTGTTTCATGCTTCTTAGGATATATTCTTAGGAGTGGAATCACTGGGTAAAATGGTGGATTAATTTTTAATATTTTGAGGAAACACCATAGTGTTTTCCATGGTGGCTGCACCAGTCTGCATTCCCACCAGCAGTGTACTAGAGTCCCCTTTTCTCCACACCCTCACCAGCAGGTGTTGTTTGAGGATTTATTTATGGCAGCCATTCTGGTAAGTGTGTAGTCATACTTCATTGTCATTTTAATTTGCATCTCTCTGATGATTGGTGACTTTGAGCATTTTTTCATATGTTTCTTGGCCATTTGTGTGTCCTGTTTGGAGAAGTGTCTATTCGGGCCCTTTGCCCACTTTCTAATTGGATTATGTGTTTTCCTTTTTGTGAGTTGTATGAGTACTCTATTTTGGAGATTAACCACTTGTCATATGCATCGTTGGTAAATATATTCTCCCAAACAGTGGGTTCCCTCTTCAGTCACTGTTAATGACTTTTAAATGGAAGAAAATACTAACCACTCTCACATCACTGAGTCTATTTTGACTATAAGATAGGCAGTGGTGGCCACACACTGGTCCAGCTGAAATCATTACAACTCATTCTCCAGTCTGTGCTGGCCTTGGACTAGCAGTACAAAGCAGGGGATACAGGCTTTGGCATCAGAAAGCAGTCGATTTGAATTCTGACTCTACTTTTCACTCATTTTGAGACTCTGGGAACATCAAATTCCCAAAGTTCTGGTTTACTCATCTGTAAAAGAGGATAAAAATATCCTCAGGCGGGGTTGTTGGAAGAATATCTGAAAGGAAATTTTGTATGTCGATTGCCTAGCACTGCGCCGAGCATATACTAAGCTGACAGCAGACACCAGTTCTGACGACACTGAACGGCACTGCAGGGCACTGGCGTGCAGGCGGCCGTGCCATCGGAGACCGAGCGGCTCAGAGCGGCGTCTCGGGGGCTCGGCTGGGGACAGCTTGGCCTCTCCCTAGACTCAGATCCCTCCCGTCTTCCAGATCCAACCAGATCAGCTTCAGTGTTATTTCTTTGAATACATTGGGCTTCTGATCAAGACTTTTCAAAGAAAAAATGTCCTATGGTAAAAACAAACCCACAAAACTTTGGAAATCGCTGCACTACACAATTTAAAAAAACCATAAATAACAATACACTCAGTAGGGAATATGATCATTTCTAAAACTGTAGTCTATGAAGCTAATTAGCAATTTATATCAACCTTTTATGAAATATTAATGCTCATTTCCCCTCTGAAAATGTAATCCAAAGGCCACCGTATTGAGTTCTTGTTATGGCCTAGGCACTGGATCAGGTGCTTTCTGTTGACCCTAATTTAGAAAAGTATTTTCTTATGTGTTTATTTGTTTAATCCTCACCCAAGGATATTTTCCCATTCGTCTTCAGATAGAGTGGGAGAGAAAGAGAGAGAGGGAAACATCGATGTGAGAGAGACAGATCGACTGATTGCCTCCCGCATGACCCTGACCAGGGCCGGGGACCGAACCACAACCGAGGTACATGCCCCTAACTGGAATTGAACCTGCGACTCTTTGGTCCTTGACACTCTAACCACTGAGCCAAACCAGCCAGGGTGACAGCAGTGTTTTCTTTAAGGGAGCTACAAAGACCAGTACAGGAGAATTAGTAACGGGTCTGGAGAGGACACCACATAAGAAAGATGCTATGAATGCCTGCCATTTTCATTTTATCAAAGGTCTCAGAAGCACTGTAAGATAATTATTGATAATTTGGGTGAAGACCTCTAATTCAAATCCAATTAACAGAATCTGTGGGTAATTTCAGGCATTTGGGCACCTTGCCCCCCAAATTCCTCAGTTGCCCCTCAAATTCGTCTTCAGAGCCTTGCTTCCGATCGTGGCCATGACAGTGGAACACCCGGAAATGGGGAGACTTTAGTGTCCCCACCCCACCCCTCTGGAGCATGTCACCCTGGAATTAATTTGCTGAGGGTTTCAGGAGGCTGCCTGGAGGTGGGGCCACACAGCTCCCCAGGGGTACAGCAGGGCAGAAGCCACATGCAGAGCAGGTTTCCACAAAAGGGAGGAACGGTAGCCAGCAAGTGACAGGGAAATACCCTGACAATACAGGACAGAAATATCTGCATGCTTTAATCCTGTTTTGGTTTCTTTTAAGAGCGAGGGTTATTGGGTGTTTGAACAAATATTAGTCCAGTTAAATAGCATGCTTCTAAACGATCTAATGTATCTGTGTTGTGTTCCTGAAGCCCAACCCGGAGCAGGAGGACGTTCTGTTTCACTTCTTCGGGAATAGAATGGCATGATGGGAAGGCCTGGATGTGGTCCTGCTGATGCATTACTGGATAGGAGCGTCTGTGAGGTCAAGTTAGACTGTGTCCTTTGTTTTCTGGGAGATAGCACACCCGTTGAGGACACTTCTTGCAGTCAAACTGTCTCGGGCCACAAAAGGCAAAGTTGGGCTCCTCCTTTCTCAGCCAAAACCAGGGAGTCAGCTTTATCCAGGGCCGATCATGAGCAAAAGCACAATCCTTGGAATCGAATCGGAATTGACTATATGGGGCGTTTTTCTAAATGAAAGGCGGGAGAAGAATTTGGTCACTGCTGGTCTTCCCCAGGTAATTATACCCACAGCCTCCTCCCAAGCCCCATGAAACCTCTTGGGGACCCCATCTTGGAAGTTAAAAGAAATCGAAGTCTTTGTGATTTATTTTATATGCAACAATCAGCAAATGGAATAGAGGCACTCGTTTGGAAATGGTAAAAATGGGCATAGCTTAGACCGGAGAACCAATGTTTTCTCTCCAGAAAAATTCTCTGCATTCCCCTTAATCAATACAATTAATGTAGCTTTTATCTAAAGTTACTTTTTCCTCCCCTGAAAACTGTCTTTCACTTGGAATCCAAATCAAAAGGGTCCCCAATTAAGAAAACATTTTCTGTTGTGCTGAATGCATGTCACCGTACTATGAGCTCTGACATTTTGTTTCTGTGGTAACCAAAATCAGCTGATTAGTTGGCATGGCAACAGAAAAGATGTAATCCCAGCAGACACACTCTAATCAATGCCCCCAGCACAGATGGTCTCCGGAGGATCAACAAGAAAGAGGCTGGCAGGCACTCAGCGCCTCTCGTGCTAGCTTGAGACCAGGCCAGGGACGAGAGAACTAAAAAAGAACATTTCTCAAACTAACCAGGAGATTTTTAACCCTTTTCTTCCTTTGACTAATTGTGAAGCAACATGGACCATGGAGTTACGTGTACAATGCAGTTCTTATGGCGCTTCTGTGAAATCGGATGTGCTTTTTAGGTGTGTTTGTTTCATTGTCTGGCTCTTTATGCCTGGAGCAGTACGCATGGAACAGTGTATTGTTATTATTATTAGCGTTATCAGTATTGCTGAAGTAAAAGATTACAAGCTTATTATGAAAAGATTCAACCGAATCTTTTGCGGGGTGGAAGAGATGCACCGGGCAAGGCATGTGGGAAGGGGCAAGGAGGTACCCTGAGAACCCCCCTCTCCCTAACCTCTAAGGCTCTGCCAACCAGGAAGCACTGAGTAGGGCTTTTATTTTTATTATGATTATATTAAATTTTTCTTTTTATTGTTGAAAGTATTACAGATGCCCCCTTTCCCCCCCAATAACCCCCTTCTCCCCACCATGTGCCTGCACCGCACTACTATCTGTGTCCATTGGTGATGCATATATGCATATACGTTCTTGAATAGTGTTTGTATAATAACAGTTGCGTACAGCTCATTGTATTTTACTTAGAGATACCATACATGTAAATGCATATACATACACATATATTAGAATAGTATGGTCATTGGTATTATAATAATTTGTTTAGTCAGGATAACAGTTCAATGTCTAAATCCTAGACTAGCACATGGTGTAACGTGGCTAAGGTAAGAATGCTGAGCGAACTGTCGAGACAAGAATGGGTATTAATATCGGGAACCGCAGGTGCACTTCCACGATACCTGGCTACAGTAGTAAATCATTTCATCATAAATAATCGAGACCGGGAAAAATAGACCTGTGTTTATAGACGAGACAAAGGTGTCCGTTAACGGCTGGAATTATTGTTCCAGTTTGTAAAACCTAAAAGTCACCCAACATGTACCCCAGACAGGGCTCATCTCAGCACCTACCAGTAGAACTCAAGTGTCTTTGATTCTGAAAACGTTGGTGATTGCTCTTCTGATTATTAAGCCTTGTTTTCTATTCGACTGGAACTTGAATACAGAAAAGAAAGGCTTTCTAATGTGTGTTTTAAAACTCTAATTACATATTTATCCATAATCTATAATGTTCCTTGGATCAGGAAATTGCAAAATGTGTACTGTGCTCCTGAGGAATATTAAATATTACTGTTGATTAGGACTGGGGCTGATTTTTGATTCACCAGTTGACCAAATTTTCATAAAAGCAACTCAGAACCACTAGCTCAAACGCTATTTGGGGAGTTAGAGTTTATTGGTAGTCTAAATTAGAACAACGTGCTAAGCAATGCCATGTACTAACTAATAGCGCCCCCCCCCCCTCCCCGGAAACAAAGCATTGGTGTCCAAACTATTTTTCTTTGTGACACTAAAAGTTCATTAACCCACTATTTTGTACTAAATAGCCCAATTGTTTTCTTACACAGGGAAGAGCTATTTTTAATTAATATGAGAACAAAAGAAAAATTGGAAAGATTCTTTGGGTTGTATCATAATCACTAAGGAGCAAAAAAAAAAAAAAAAAAAGAACCCTTTCGAATTTTCTAAAAATAAATGTGCATAATTAGCATCTGGACTAAGTGCACATAGCTAAGCTACATTTCCCAGAAAGTAGTATCTTTCATCACAGGATGGAAATACTCATTACAAGGGTTGGCAGGTTACAGAGCCGTGGAGGAGAGTCGGATGGGTGATCTAAAGAACTGAGGCTTGAGGCTGGGAGAGCCGAGTTCGGAGAATGTGCAGGGCCCCTGGGTGAGTGCCTGGGGTGCCGGACGGCACTCAGCCATCTGGGAGGGCAGCATGCCCGGGTGCAGACGAATGCAAGAGAGAAAACCTTAGTTTCTTCATTGGAATGAAAAAAAAAGCACTGTATCAATTCGCCGGGAGAATGGGATTCTTTTTGATTTCAAACCAGCCCTGAAGAGACAGCACTCTGTCTTCAGGGAAACTGAGGACATCTGTAAAAGGACTACCACGAGGTACATTTTCCTATCAATGGCCACAGGTTTTGTAAGTGCCTCCCTCATGATGGCAAAGGTTTTATTTAATTATCATGGATTTGTTTTCCCCTTAAAGCATAAAGAACTTGTGTGTTTGTGTTGAATTACCTGAAGGTAACACTAAGCCTTGCCCAAAATACACTAATAAAGATACTAAAGCTGCAGACAGGCTTTCTCTGCAGGGCTCAGACTTTGTAACACTGGAAACGGATTGTGTATCTGTTTGATCTAGAAGACTACATAAATGTTTAATGTCTTGAAAATGAAATGAGACACAGACAAGTTCAACTGTCACCCAAGTGATCATTCCTTTCCATAGAGCAAAACTCCCTTCCCAGCACCAGCTTCTGCACACAGTGGGAAACTTCTCTGTCTCTGAGTGACAACCTTCCTCTCTGTTCTATTGTCAAAGAGGAAGAAAGAGAAAACCTGATTCCTACTCCACATTTAAAATGTCCATTGACCATGCCAAGATACTGTATAATCAGTAGCATTGATGATGTGTTTTTGCATTTTCTACACTTTTCCTTTCCCATTGTTTTTTGTTTGTTTTTACACCACCGTGGACAGCAGAAAGATTGAACTGCACCCACAAGATCAAAGAATACTTTAAACAATAAACATTTAATTTTTATTCTTTTGGCATATTGAGTACAAGTGACAAAAACATCTTCAGTTTTATAATTTGGGCTTTTGCAATTAACCCCGATAGTACAGCTTCTCTTAAATACCAAAAAAAGGTTGTCCTTTGTGTCTTCAAGGAAAAGAGATAGTTGCTCTCGTTAATGTTACAGATTCATTTCACACTGAGCCTTCGTCAAAATGCAATGAACTAGTGTTCATTGAAACAAGCTTCTGTTTATCAGATTCTATGACCAAATATTTGCTGTTAGTATTTCTACTTGGGAGAAGAGGTGAAGGGGTTGTCGCTAGTGTTCCGAGAGGTGCCTGCCCACAGGGAGACTCCACACAGCAACCACCTGCGCACGGGAAGGAGCACAGGTGTAGGACGTGCGGAAGATGGGCTTTGCTCTTTTCATTTCTGATTCTTCACGGAGCCTGGAATTCTGCCTCAATGACTGATCTTATCCTCACCTTCCCCGCCCCTGGGTTTCTCGCTCTCTCTCTCACAACCCACTTCCGACTCACCTGCTGACTTACCATTCACACAACTTCTTAGAATTGGGGGGAACCACCTTTTAACTCCAAATTCCCTCATTTTTTAAAATATATTTTTTGTTCCTTAAAGATTACGGTTAGTTGAACTGTGGTTAGTTGAATTTTTCCCCTGTCCTGTTGGTTCACATCGAATTTAGTTTGAAAAAGTGCTTAATTTTAATAACATATAGTTTCTTCAGCAACTAACGGCACTGTGATGATGACTGTGACTCTTGGTGGTCTGGGTGAGCCGGAGCAGACCTTGAATCAGCCGATCAACGTTGGGAGAATGTTCTTTCGTGGACAGAAGATCTTTGTGTAAAATCCAATGTTCTAATTTAGCAACCTGAGTCTCATAGGCAGCCCAGCTCCTCTTGCCCTAAATTTTGAGGCTCGATCATGCTTGACTCTGCTCCCATATGATGTGCACAGTTCTGGGAGCAGTGTTCACCAAGAGTCTAGTCGTGTCACAAACAAAACCGACTATCGTCCTGTGCTGAAAGAATCTAAGATGTGCGAGATAAGCTCAGAGTCCCAGCAGAAAGCGTCCTTTAGGATCCCTGAGCACATGCAGAGAAGAACCAGCCATGTTGCAGGTGGCCCCTTACCTTGGTGAACATGGGCTTCCCGTGCTGGGTGACCATCGCACACTGGTCACAGTCCACCGTGATGGATGAGTTGTGGTACGACTCCTTGGAATGCTTGAGAATATAATACAGGTCAGTCACCCCTCCTTCAAACACAGTGCTAAAGTACCGGGGGATGAGGGTCCTGCCGATAGCTAGGAGGAAAACAGACAAACAAAAAATTAATGGAAATATTTGGCTGGTCCCACACGCCCCACACCACTGGCAGATGGGCAACTGGACACAAATCATCCAGAGAACATGCCAAGGGGCAAAGCTCTCTTTATAAATAGCCATGATCCTTCTGGGTTACAGTTTACAAAATAAAATTCCCCAACTACTCAGAAAGAAATGTGTACAGTCATCTCTCCAGATTTGGTGTCCATTGAAAGTCAGTAGTAAAAGGGTTTGTAGTTTTAAAAGAATAGAAACGGACATGTTGACTACTCTGCACCTCCTGCATGTTCTGTAGGTGAACATACTTTTCAAAAATAAAACACATCCAACCCACCTGGATTTTTTTAATGGGTTGTTTATAGGCCAGTCATCCAATCATGTTTTAGTAGTAGTAGTCATAATAATCTACATTTCAATAATGTAGAGCTTTGTAGTGTGTGAAGTATTTGGGTATTCTCTCATTGGATATTCAGAACAGCCCCAAGAGTGTTGGGGACTGAGACCCATAAAGGTTATTTTGAAAAGGAAAGAAAGGGTTATGAGGAATGTTTCAAAGCCACATAACTTGTGGGTAGAAAATGGGGGTCTCTAGCTCCAAATCTGCAGACGCATGAACACGCACTCTTCCTAACAATGTGTCTCAAACTCTTTAACGAATGGAAATCTTTAAAAAGTGAGCCGAATCTGCATCAGCAGAGATCCACATCTATGCAAACACCCATCATTCATTCTGTCTGCTTCTGGAGTTGGACATGACATCTTTCTACAATAAAAGGCCCATTTTAAGAGAATTTGGAACTTCCACTTGGTCTAAATTGGTCTCCTTTATCCCATGTGCTCTATCCTGCCCCATTTTAGTTTGAGTGATTGGTAAGTAGCTGGGTCTCTCTGATATATGACCCGTAGAAACAGCTAACAAGCCCTTGCTTTAGCAGAGATTTTAAATCCTCTTACACTGAAAATCCCAACTCATAATATCAGGAATTTTGCCTATGTGCAGATTTTGAGGCAAAATACTAAAGCACCCTCAAGGGATCCAAGGTTTTCAATAAACCTCTTACATTCATTATATAAGGCCTCCTGAAAGATGAAAATAATATTTAAAATAAATAAATTGCCAAGGAAAGCTTTCATAGGAAAGATCATGCAATCTTCACTTGCATGTTCTAAAATATTTGACTTCATTTTAAAAGAATCAGTGTTAATCTATTCCGTATGGATCTATATCTCTTTTGTCCATGGATTGGGAAAAAAAATAACTATAAAAAGAAAACTCTGCCAAACAATTTTTTGAAACAATCGCTGAAGAATCCCGATATGGATGACTAGTCGCTGAATAATTTATATAGTTCTATTGCTTCGTATTTGCTGCAGTTAAAGTCAATCAACAAGTGTGCTTTAAATAGTCCAGGATCTTTGACAATTCCATCTTAAATAATCCTTGTACATACATTTCCTAAATCCTGCCTAATCCCCAACAGCGCACATTCATTCACTAAATATAAAATGCAAATAAAAGTAATCTGAGTCCGCCATAAACACACGCAAGGCTTACATTATAAAGAAAACTTGGTTAATGAGAAAAACCTCATTGTACTTTACTAAACAGATAAAATTAACATATTTCAAATATTCTAACTTAAAACGACCACAAAACAGCTCTAGTCATTTGACATTTTGGGGATCTGTGCTGTGGACAATAACTATGCACCGTACAAACGTAGATGTAGGGTGAAAAGATTTCACCACCATATCCAAGGAATTGGCACCGTAAACAGGCTACTGCAAACAAGGACCCCTGGGTTAGACACATTCTGGTTTATTCATCGTGAACCCTGCACAGTTTAATTCCTTTGCAGAAGTGTTTGATATATAGTATCGTCATTTTCATTCACAGCGTAAGAGAAATTGAATAAGCAAAAGTTGGAGCTTCCTTAACTTTATTTTTTAATGAGCTTTCCAGGTCTAGAAAATGCACAAACTACATGGTAAGTACCCTCAGAGGGAAGGGCAGCGTGGCTTCGTGGAATTCCTTCGAGCACGCTAGGAAAGGGTTGCTGTGGGGACCTGGGGCTTGTGTCCGGCCCTTTTCCTTTGTGGGACCGTCCCTACCATTTCCCCCGGTCCTGTGTGGACCATCACCCACTGTGGTGGTGGCTGTGATGAACGGCGACAATGGCAGTCCTGTTCTTGCATATGCAGTCTCCTCTCCTCAAATACAGGCTGGGCCCGATGGTCTTTAATCAGTAGAATGTGGCGGAAGTGACCTTGTGTCAGTTTGGGGTTAACCCTTTAAAAAGACTAGAGGCTTCCATCGTGTGCCTGAGGTCAAGTCAGGCTTTGCGATGTACAAAGTTCAACTACATTAAGTCTATCACAGTGCGAGAAGCCCGACCTAGCCGAGTGGAGCAGTCCGGTGAAGAAGAACTGTGTCTTCCAGCCGGCTACCCGGGCTGAGCTGCCAGCCAGCAGCCGGCAGTGAGTGGGGCCATCACGGAGATGGACTCGGGACCTCCCACCGTGCCGCCTCCAGTTAATGCCATTTGGAGCGGAGAGGTGCTGTCTTCTGTCTGCTTTGCCCAAGTTGCAGAATCATGAGTAAATAAAGGTAATGTCTGTATTTTAAACCAATAAGTTTTGGAACATTTTTTTAATGTATCAATGAATAATCATAGCACCCTTTCAAATCCCTAGACTACGAAGATGGGCAGACTGGTGTATTTCCCTGAAGGAAAGACGGCAGTCCTGCTGCTAGAAACATGAGTATAGACATACAGAGGCTCGCATCCAGAGGAGAGCCGGTCAGAGACACAGGCTCTTTGTGGACTGATTTGGGCCCTTATCTTAGCTGGGACTGAGTCCTTGGAGGTCCCACTTTGTGAGATGTGCCTGCCCCCATCTTTTTAAAATTAAAAAAAAAAAAAATCAAATTTGCGTTTGAGTGAGCTGGTATTAGCTTTCTGTCATTTGCAAACAGAGGAGCCCTGAGCAACGCTGTCCTGTTCCAGCATGGAATGGGCTCGTGCACACTGATGTGAAATAAAGTGATGAGAATGGCCCTGGCCGGTTTGGCTCAGCAGTTAGAGCGTCAGCCTGCAGACCGAAGGGTCTCGGGTTCAATTCCTGGTCAAGGGCATGTGCCTGGGTTGCAGCAGGTTCAATTCCCAGCCCTGGTTGGGGTCATGTGGAGGCAACCAATCGATGTCTCTCTCACATTGATGTTTCTTTCTCTCTCTCCCTCCTCTCCTCCCTTCCACTCTATCTAGAAAAATCAATGAAAAAATGTCCTCGGGTGAGGATTAAAAGAAAAAAAAAAAGAAAAAAGTGATGAGAATGAGAATCTGCAAAAGATTTGAGTTCTCTTTGCATCAGAAGCTGAAAGGGAAAACAGGGTGTGTCAGAGATTAGTTTCTACTGCTACTATCACAAATGATCACAACTTAGTGGCTTCAACTCTATTTGTTTATTATCTTACACAGTGTTCTGAAAATCGGACGTGGGTCTCGCTGGGCTAAAAGGCGACAGCAGGGCCACCTTCCTTTCAGAGGCCACAGGGCAGAGTCCGTGTCCTGCCTTTGTGGGCATCTGGAGGCTGTGGGCATCCTCAGGTGTGGTCCTTCTCCGTCCTCACAGCAGCAGTGGTGATGGAACCCTCACCGGGCATCACCCTCGCTTCCTCTGCTGTCCCCCGCTTCCACTCTTAAGGAGCCTTGTGACTAGGGCCCACCCACATAATTCAGGATCAGCTCCTATCTCAAGGTCCTGAACGTAATCAGGTTCGGGAAGTCCCTTTTGATATGTAAGGGGACATATTCACAGGCAGCAGGGAGGCCACTGTTCTGCCGTCCACAGAGAAATCTTTGCCAAAGAGCTTCTGTTCTGCAAGGGAGAGCAGTGAAACATGTAACGTGACCACACATACATGTGCACATACACACAATGCGCGATATACAGATCATGTGCAGTGACTGGGACAGACAACCAGAAAAGAAATCACATGTGCTTGAGGGAGTCACTCAGTGGCTTGTTCATCCGTTTCCTCTGTAAACGTTCACTGAGCCCAGAGCAGGTGCAAACGCAAAGATAGATTTTTGTCTCTGTCTTTGAAGCACATTCTAATAAGAGAATTAACACGTATCTAAGTATCTATAACACAATGTGATAATAAAGTCAGAAAACGAGTCTGTGATTTTGAACTCTTTGCCAGTTTCTTCTGACTCCTGAAGTCAATGTTCAATTGAACTGTTTTTGAAGCACGAGAAGATGAAAATGTCCTTTTAATTTCGTACCTTGTGCGCCCACACTGCACAGCCTAATATAAATGACTTTACATCAGTGGACAGTTCAGATTTATCTCCGGCGATCCCCTCAAACTCATCAGCCACACTGTATCTGAATCTATTTACATTTTATATTGTCACATTCATATGCTAGACTTACACTTTGCATTTATACTTTAAATCTTGGAATTAAAAATACTTTAAATATTGATATACATAAATCTCTATTGTTCCCATGTAAAACAGCACATCTTACAAATATTCCTGAAGAGAGATTAAGATGATCGTAGATTACAACAGAGATTCTACTTTTCTAACATATTTAGGTTAAGCTCCAAAAGGGAAGGGGAGGTCAGGGGAGCAAGTTGGCCCAGAAAGATTTCCTGCGATGTCAGGTGGGTAGAATATAACAAATATTATTTATTTACGTATTTATGAGAGAGAAAAGAAAACCACAGATTAAATTATTCAGAAGCTTGGAATGTGTACAAAGAATGTCTAAGTAACATTCTACCTTGTGGGTAAACAGTAGTCCAAAAATAGCTAAAAATCTGTTCCTAGCTCATTTGGATATTGAGCTCAGAATTCCAGTTCCTCGGGAAGGGTTTCGTTGTCCTATTCTGTTCCAAACCCCTGACCTCCACTCTCCAAAAGTTCTTGCTCCTGGAGTTGGAAGGCTGATGGTGCTCCATCTTTTC